AATTGACTTCTTTAATGGCAGACCGCCTCCGTGGTCTAGTGGTAGAGCGTCCGCCCGATGAGCGGAAGGCCGCGTCATACCAAAAGACGTTAAAAGATTGTACTTGTTGTTACCCTGTCTGGCGCTCGGCATTAAGGGGCTAAAACAAGGACTGGTCGGCTCGGAGTCAGTATACTGTGTCTGAGTGGGGTATTCATGTTAAACTGCGGCATGGTATCTAGCACTAGAGAGCTAGCACTATAAATCGGCATCAGTCCGGACTAGTACAAGCAGCCACATACATACATACATACACGTGCATGCACGTCGCTATATAAGTGCAATAATCTTGGACGCGACGTTAAACCCCATTTCACCTCACCTTTAATGGCGGGCAACGGATGACATTGTCTTCTCCTTACGTAATGACAAAGTAAAGATGACAACCTCTCTGAGATAGCATACACAACAAAGTGTTCTCTTCGAATGTCGATTGTTGATGGGATATCTAAAGAAGAAGAAGAACAGTTACAATGTAAATACGTGCGTTGGTTTGATTGAACGCCACTTTCAAAAGAGTTCCACTTAAATCAGTGCATGCCAGCTTGGTGATGTGGGGAAAGTTGATAGAGAACAAAAAGAAGGAAGGCATTAAGTAATTTAATTTCTTTTACTAGTGATTATGTTCGTTTTGAATCATTCATATCAACAGATATAGAGTTGATACAAATTTGAAATAACGCCCCATATTTTATGGGCACACTATTCAGCTGTACATTAAGCTTGGTGATATCAGTTAACAACCGTATTTTTGAAAATATTGAGTTTTAACAAATAATTGTTTTGACTTCAGCCTGTTTTATTCCAGATGGGCAGAATGAGACTAGTTGTGATAAGTGGTCATCGTTCATTGTTTGATATCGATTTCTTTCTTTTGGATACTGATCGTTGCATTTAAATATGAGCGCTTTAAGATTTTAAGTGCACTTCTACATTTCCGATTGGACAAAAAATATATATTTGAAATATCGTTAAACTAATCTAACATCTTCTTTAATCATTTGTCTCTATATATGGAGGGTGGGGGAGGGGAGGGGAGGGGTGGGGGTGGTCTTGTCTTCAAAGCACGTATCTATGAATGGATGACGGAATGCGGTAGCCAGAGTTGGGATGAGGCTTTCGCAATGTAAAATGCTGTCTTCGCAGTCCCAGTTGAATAACAGGGCAACTTTCCCAGCAAAGAAGACATTTCCCACAGGAGCTCACATTTGAATGCTAATATTTGCATGCTGCAAAAGCATCCCATGTACCAAGGGTTGATCATCCACTTGGTGATGAATAAATCTCCCGGATCTACAACGTTCGTATAGGCACGCCGGAGGATCACCATCATCTCGACGCCTGTGATTTCTGCATTAGTCAGTCAGCTTAAATGGAAGACACGTTTCATAAGTTTTCAAAACTGAACGTTTTGTTTTGCTTTCGTTGTTCTTTCATTTGGCTTTTAAAACACATAGATCTAAGAAACTACAATTCTTTTCCAAGCCATTGTGATATGATGATGTATGTTGTCGAGTCTCAAAGTAATTTTCCACTCAACTCCTATGTTAGGATGCCAGTATGTCATACTTTATTTTCCAGGGATTTGTATCTAGACTTAAAAAAGTTCCAAAATCTGGTGTAGCCTAGTAGTTAAGGCGTTTTCTCGTCACGCCGAAGATCCGGGTTACATTCCCCGCAAGGGTACAATGTGTGAGGCCCAATGCTCGTGTTTCCCACCGTGATAACGCTGGAATATTGCGAAAAGCGGCGTAAAACCACACTCACACACTCATTGTTACATCCTTGCGATGAGAAAATATATATTCCTTAAATTATGTCTTTTATTCTCACTACATACCCCTGTTGAAAAGTTATTTAAAAAAAATAAACGTTTTCATTTCTCAGATGTGCTTATGTAATATAAAGTTGTGGACTGGAGAGTACGTCCGGACAATTCTCAAATGTTTTGAACACGCTAAAGTAACATTGCGCCATGTAAAATTAAGATTCAAAACGCTAATTAGATATTAAAAAAAACATTTAGAAGGAAGTAAACTAATTAACAAGGCCTATTGGCTAATCTAAACATAGATAAACTAATTACAACTCATACGCTATTCTAATCACAGGGAACTCCCAACAGCCCCCCAGCAAGTACGTGTATGGTAATACATGTTATTGATGTGAACATGGCGTGAAAAACCGCCCCGCATCTTTTAGCTGACTTGGGAATTAGAAGTCGCTAAGGGATCAGCCAACGAGCCAATGGAATCTACTTTTTGAAAAAAATACATTTAAATGACGGAACATGTCAGGACATATTGCATTTTGTGGCTTTACCTTGCATTTACAATTGCAACACAGAAATCCATTATATCATACCATTCTCAGCCAAACACATAGGTCGCATTTTTTTGTTTTCATTTCACCTTCAAACGTACATAAGTAAATCTTACAAACCATTTTGGAATTTCCCAACGGCCAATGATTTCTTGAGGGTAAAACCTTCAAAGTAGAATGGACTTTCAAAAGAAAGCGAAAGAAAACTGGGCATGTTAAACGACAACACAAAGATCGAAAACTTTTCTGAAAGCAAAAAACAAAACGTAGAAACGCTTTGTTGAGACACAATCAAGCTATGCCTGGTTGTGTTTGATCAAATGGTGTCGGTCGTATATTGTGTTTTTCTGTATTTCATGTACGTATGATTAGTTTAGTGTTCCGCCGTCATTCCATTACATAACCAAGTCCTCAGTTGCGAACCTCCTGGGAAGTCCAAAGATTAATAGTACCGAGTTCCCTTAGCATGTGAAGACAAATTATTGTGAGATGTTTCAAATGACAAACCATATGTGGATTGTTGACGATCTGGGAGTGAGTAAGTGAGTATGGTTTCTTGTGGCTAAGAACAGTATGTCACATTTATCACGGCAGACAGGTCAATGTCGAAGGGAAGCCAATCGTCACATGTCGTTGAAACTGTCAATAAACGAAAGCTCATAATCGAGGTTAATTGTGGGCCCTCGGATCCGTCTAAAACGAGGATCCATGGTAAAGTGTACAGGGAATTATATGTGCACAGAAACGGTTGATGTTACGATGTTGGTGCATATTAATTAATCAGGCTATATCTTGTCACGATGTCTTTTGACTTGAGAAGGACATTACATTCTAATGAGAAAATATTTATTTTTAATCAGAATATGCACAACGACCCTGGTAGAAAAACTACAAATCAATTCAAATGCTACTCCTCGCACCTTTAAATCTACGATGTGACGGACTAATAAATAAAACCAAAAACATCACCAAGCATCAAAGCTTAGGATTATCAAACAAAACTGCTAGTGCACACAAATGTATCCATACAGATGTTGATTTGTGTGTCTGGTTCGCGTCACCTTCGCGTCACATCAAACTGATACATTGCCACGTGCTGCTAGCTTAAGGACGCGAGCTGGAAATTGGGAACTAATTACATGCAAAATGAAACCCATCCCTAGAAACAGTCCTGCTTTTGAAGTCTTATGCGAGGTTGATGCGAGATGGGAGGAGGGTATAATCCTTGCGATATGGGCGGACTAAAGGCGTCATGATATTGGCAATCGTTAAAAATCGCGTTAAGCTACCAGCAGGTTTCAGAGGGATCTGCCACCAATAAAAGGTATGCCAAGCAGATTCATTTCTACTGAGGTGTGATACTAAAGGGCACGTTTTGAGAATTACACCGGATAAGAATGTTTCTCTGATGTAAGATCATTTGCAATGAGGAAGTGGATTGGGAGATAACACTCTTACCGTCACAGGAGGGATTATGACGACAGGGAGGATTGTTAGAAAGAAGAAACCATCTCGTTTCCGAATCCCATAGCTTTGCCATATAATTGCAACTTGAGACAGAAGTTGAATATACGTTCTCTTTGTCCGAGCTACGTTTTATTTCATCTGACACACGTCTGTTATACAGAGACAAATTCACTCACACAAGGAAATAAACTAACTACTTTCGACCCAATACAAACTGATTTATCAAAATCTGATATAGAACTTCTCAGCTTAGTCTCAGCGACATAATCCCCAGTTTCAAAGAAGAGTTTCCTGTGCATTACTCAAAACATTGCTCCTTAGAAACCAAAATATGAAAACTCCCTTCATGGGAAAGAAAAGGCTTGTGGGAAACCATTTGACTACGCATTCATTTATTGAATGTCAACTCTATCGCTAATGGCCATCCTTAATGGCAGACGACATATGGTGTCGTCTGCGGAATGGCGGGCAACGGATGGCAACATTGTCTCCTTCCGCAGCCTGCTTGTCTTCTCCTTGTATAATGACAAAGTCAAGATGACAACAACCCATCATGTGTCAACACATGCCTGAATTGGATCAAATACGCATATATTTTATCACGCTCTGATATAACATACACTACACAGAGCTCTTCTTGAGGGGTTATCGCTGAGGAATGTTGGAGTGGTACTGATGGCGTAATGCATCTTGATGGATTATCCAAAGAAAGAAGAACAGTAACAATGTATATGCGTGCGTGGGTTTGATTTCACACAACTTTCAACAGTGTTTCAGTCCTTTCAGCTTTATGATGTGTGGAAGCCGGAACTTGATATGAACTGATAATTTGGAGGTCCTCAAGGGGTTTGACGCTAACAAACATTATTTGGACGGATATTGGATTCGAACCCACTGTCATAGATGTGTGGAACGTCTTAGGGACGGAGCTATGTATAGCGAATTGCGGCGCCGTTGTCGACTTGACCACCCAGGTGACATTTAAGAATAGTTCATGCCAAAGAAGACAATGAATGTTATAAGATCTCACGTGAACATGTATCACGTTATTATTCACTCTCATCTTATGAAAGTTATTTCAAATGACAAATTGTCATTTTACGATATCAAGTACCCTATTACGTGCAAATATTATGCATGTAAGTTGGAAGAAGAAAAAAAAGTAAGGCATTCAGTAGTTTAATTTCTTACACTATTGTGTAGGTCGTTTTTCAATAATTCATATCAATAAACGGTAAGGTAAAAGATGTACAGGTTTTGGATGTCTGTTAATGGTTGATGAAATAGGGCACCAGCAGCTAGGATGAAACGTATGCAGACACTTCATTTGCAGTGTAAATTCCGCTCCTCGCAGCCCCGGTTGAATAACAAGAGAACTCACTATCAAAAGCTTCCCCTGCAAAGAAGACGTTTCTCACCGGAGCTCTTATAGCTTCAAAGATGTCCGACCTGAATGCCGATGCTTTCATGTTGCAAAAGCTTCCCATGTACAATGGGTTATTCTTCCAGTTGGTGATGAATACATCTTCCGGATCGACAACGTTCGTGTAGACGCGCCGGAGGATCGCCATCACCTCACCAGTGATTTCTGCATCAGTCAGTTCGGACACTCTGTCTGCATCTTCCCCTTGTGTGACCATCTTGAGAATATTGGTTCCAGGGGGAAATAGTCCGTCAACCTCTAGGTTCTGCCAGACTGGAAACACACCTCTTCTGTCATCAGCGTACAGGATATATTCAGTGTTATCCCAGAACCTAGATGAGGTGTTAGGGAATTTGAGATACACACTAACATAGTTTTCGAACCGGACCCGGAACAGATTGTCGATCTTCCAGTCTGGGAGTGGTGGGTTGAAAATCACAGAACCGCTTTGCAGGACACCAATACTGAAAGTTACAATGACTACGTTGGCCGTGAAGACCTTTCCGCTCTGGGTAGTAACTGCCACTCTAGTGTCGCTGTAGTTTATACTTGTGACGACTTCATTCAGATGTAGCCGTTGATCATTTGGTGTCAATGCATCAACAGCATATGTCTTCAGAATATACTCATAACCTCTTTCGTCTATAATGTAGTACATATCGTTGACAGCATCTTCAGTCATACCAACACCATAACAGGAAGTCACTTCGGGGGATCCTCCATACTCAAAGTCATAGTCAAATATCTCCACAACGTTTTCAACAGGCGTTTTAGGGGACCACCCTCCAATATCTAGGCAGGTTCGTACAGACATGTCCCCCCATTTCTTGTTTTTAACACATTTGAAGATCTCGGATACGGTCCTTTTTGCTGCTTCCAATTTGATCCATGCGTCTTCTCCTTCTGTGTCCGTGACATTAGCACCGTGAACGTTTCTGATTAAAACACTGCCACGATCTGATGCTTTACCTGATACGTTGTACTTCTGGACAACATCCCATAGAGGGGTGCCTTCTTTTCCTATCACCCAGTTCGCTCCTTCTTCAACAGTCTTGCCGCCAAATGTCACAGATTTGACCCTCCCGCCAATTCTATTCGAACCTTCAAGTATCCTATAGTCAGGGATGTTTCTTTCGCCCAGAGTCTTTGCTGCCGCCAAACCTGATGCCCCTGCTCCAAGTATCAGTACCTGACTATGCCCTGCTCAACAATCACACTGTGCATATAGTTATGTAATTTAGCAACAACGTGTATATACCGCGTTTCTTAATGTGATGTGTAAAATGTACAACAAAAATTATATGGAAAGAAATTATGCAAACATAACTATGGAATACTGTAAGGGACATTCTCGCGATCTCGCATTCTCGCGATCTCGACCTTTGGAAACGAGGTAAATATGCCCAAAACACGAGAATGCGAGATCGCGAGAACGCGAGATTTAACCAAAATCTCGCGTTCTCGTGTTTTTGGTACATAGCACTTTTTGTCAAAAGTCGACAACGCGAGAGTGCGACATTTGGACATGATGCAAAATCTCGCAATCTCGCAATCTCGACTTCTCAAATTAGGCCACAAAAACACGAAATCGCGAGAACGCGATAATGCGACATTTCATTTTCTCGCGATCTCGCGTTTTAGACGCTGTCCGTGCGCATGCGTAATATCATAAGTCAAGGCGCATGCGCACGTTAGTAGTCCTTTGGTCATGCTTCTTTCATGCTCTTCATTCTCCAAGTAGCATTTAGCAAAATTATGACTTGAGCTTGAAAATGTTATGTAATTTACAAACAAAAAGTCCTATGTGGAATAGAGTAGAGTCCTCTCCCGTTGTGACATTTTCCTATGTGCTTTATACTAAAACCCTCAACATGCTCAATATAATTGAACAAAAGAAATTGTGTACATGAATGTCCAATGATAGTGAAAACATTAATGTGTCCGAAAGCTGGAAACAAATTTAAACTATCACCGTCAGTGAGTGAGTGAGTAATATTGCTGAAAGCCGCATGAGCAGTATTGCAGCTATTCGCGGCTACACTGTCAGTTACAGAAATAATCATAAGCGAGTGAGTTTCTCCATGAGGCAATATTATACACGGCTAGCATATTCATGAAAGGCAAAATTATCACAGACTAATTTGAAATACGAAATGAATTATCATATTTTCATCCGCTCCAACCTGTCTAAAAAACATCCCGCTTTACATTATTTTATAGCTGAAATGGATAAAATTATCATTAAACCGCCCGCATGTTATCATAAATGAGCGGGCCACTGTTAAAGAAATAAACGACGAGTAGGGGTACAATACAACACTGCAGGGAGAATAAACCATGAGGGGCGAGTGTTTAATTGTACAATAAACAACAACCACGAGTCGTTTAATGATTATATGAGATATCAACATTATGTACAGCCTCTTTAAGGATGTTGATAAAATGTACAAGGTTTAAAAATATTTACCCCTATTTAAGGTGGGTATTTCTCGCATTTGCTCACACAACCCTCAGGTCGATTACACGTACCTTTTCTCCCAATACCGATTGTCATATTGTAACCAGCATTTGTGATGGAAAATACAATTTCAAACATAGGCTACGGGTGTGAGTGTTTATTTACCGAGTAGATAATGACATCCTGTAATGTACAAAACAATAACATTATAAAAACAATAGTACATAGGTTTCGCACACATACATATTCATACAATACAAAGCTACCATTCATTTCATATAAACATACGTCTATATTCTGTACATGAACATGAACTTAATAATCAATGATATACAAAATCATTATCTTAACCCTATAATAAACAAATAATTCATCAAGGGCGATAACTCGATCCCGACATCCCGTCATATAGCTGGAATATTGCTGAGTTCGGCTGTAAATGCAGAAATGGTGTTTTTCATCTGTTTCAAGAGTTTTGTTTAAAGTTCATTTCTATATTTTGGTAATGGTTTAAGTTTCATATATTTTTTAAATACAAAGTTTTTTCTTAGTTAAATATTTGGTCTTCATTTGAACCTCCTCACTTTGGATTAGTGGATAAAGTGTTTCGTCCTAATATGTCACATGACCTTTGAAACCTAGAGATTGTGAGTTCAAATCCCCATTTCTCAATAAACCTTTGCAGATATATTAAAAACTTGTTTACAGCCTCAATTTCATTTCAAGTCACATGATCCAAAAAGCACATGTTCCCCACACAATCAGTCAAATCTCCATCTTGTTAGGATCACGGTTACATTCTCCAAAGTATAAAGCAACACAAATGTAAGTAAATTTTTCATTGCCAAAGTTAATATTATTTTATCTCTCAAGTGTTCAATGCATTTATAACTTCAATTCAGTAACCATTTGGCAGTTGTAAGCAATTTTTAGTATTTTGTCAGAAAGTTGTTTCTTATTCTTTTAAATTAGTAACATTGACTATTTAATTGGTTCAGCCTAAAGTAAGGATTGTATTTTCTTTCTATTTTAGTTTTCTGAACCTCACCCACCAAAGCATTCAACGTAAACAAATGTACACAAAGATAGTCGTCGTATAACGAGACTGAAATTGCCTTATTATAATGCCTTAGAATGTAAACATAGTTTGAAGTTGTATTTTTAAGTCGTCTTTACCGTTCAACGTAAGCTCTTCAATTCAACTCATTCACCAACGATTATGTCTGAATGGATATTGTTCAACGTTTGTACTGAACATTGTGATTAACGCTTAACATCATGTAATAAAAATCCATGTGGGTGTGAGTGTCAGAAGTGTGTGTTTGTTGCATCTACAGCGGCGTTAACAACAAACAAACCAACAAATCTTTCTGAAAAATACCATAAGGCATCCATGTTGGTTATTTGACTCTTCGTTGTCAGACAATATTTGTCAAATTCAGTCAGTTCACAGGCAAGAAACGGAGCGTGATCTTGACTATGTTATGTTACTTGTTATATGTGTACAAATCAACATATATGTTTCTGTATAATCAAAAGACTTGGAAATTTTGCATTGTGACATTGTCAAAAGTCACGTGATTTCTGAGCAGCCATTTTGAAAAAACTGCATTAATTTGCAAAGCAGAAATTTCTATGAACGTTGTGGTTCATCTCGACGTTTTGATGTCAAAATACACGAGCGTGAGATTTTATTCATCATCCAACATCATTCTTCCAACTTTTTCAGTTTGTAGACAGTAATAAGCACTGTCTTAAGTGTAAAAAGTACTGCTTACAGCTTCAGTGGCAGAGCCATTAGTGATGTCATGTGATTGTGACGTCATGGTAACCAATGCCATCACAATGGTTCGCAAAGCATTGTGATGTAATTTCATTGCAGCCACATCTGCAGTGTAGATATCGGTTGATCTCACCCAAGCGATATCTCCTGTGGGAGCCAGTTTTTGATGATAAATAGAGAATCTCACCCCAGTGTCTTTTGATATCAAATATATCAACACGAGTTGATAAAAGTGGAAAAATTCCGAGGCTTGCCGAGGATTTTTGCCACTTTTATCAACGAGTGTTGATATATTTGATATCAAAAGACACGAGGGTGAGATTTTATTTATCATCCAACATCATTCGTTCAACTTTTTAATTTGGAGACAGTAATTAGCAGTGTCTTCAGTGTAAAAAGTACTGCTAACAGCTTCAGTAGCAGAGCCACTAGTGATGTCATTTGATTGTGACGTCATGGTAACCAGTGACGTCACAATGGTCTGCAAAGCATTGTGATGTAATTTCATTGCAGCGACATCTACAATGTAGATATCGCTTGATCTCTTCAAAGCGATATCTCCTCTGGGAGCCAGTTTTGGATGATAAATAGAGAATCTCACCCGAGTGTCTTTTGATATCAAATATATCAACACGAGTTGATAAAAGTGAAAAATTCCGAGGCTTGCCGAGGATTTTTGCCACTTTTATCAACGAGTGTTGATATATTTGATATCAAAAGACACGAGAGTGAGATTTTATTTATTATCCAACATCATTCTTTCAACTTTTTCAATTTGTAGACAGTAATTAGCAGTGTCTTCAGTGTAAAAAGTACTGCAAACAGCTTCAGTAGCAGAGCCATTAGTGATGTCATTTGATTGTGACGTCATGGTAACCAATGACGTCACAATGGTCCGCAAAGCATTGTGATGTAATTTCATTGCAGCGATATCTACAATGTAGATATCGCTTGATCTCATCCAAGCGATATCTCCTGTGGGAGCCAGTTTTGGATGATAAATAGAGAATCTCACCCCAGTGTCTTTTGATATCAAATATATCAACACGAGTTGATAAAAGTGGAAAAATTCCGAGGCTTGCCGAGGATTTTTGCCACTTTTATCAACGAGTGTTGATATATTTGATATCAAAAGACACGAGGGTGAGATTTTATTTATCATCCAACATCATTCGTTCAACTTTTTAATTTGGAGACAGTAATTAGCAGTGTCTTCAGTGTAAAAAGTACTGCTAACAGCTTCAGTAGCAGAGCCACTAGTGATGTCATTTGATTGTGACGTCATGGTAACCAGTGACGTCACAATGGTCTGCAAAGCATTGTGATGTAATTTCATTGCAGCGACATCTACAATGTAGATATCGCTTGATCTCTTCAAAGCGATATCTCCTCTGGGAGCCAGTTTTGGATGATAAATAGAGAATCTCACCCGAGTGTCTTTTGATATCAAATATATCAACACGAGTTGATAAAAGTGAAAAATTCCGAGGCTTGCCGAGGATTTTTGCCACTTTTATCAACGAGTGTTGATATATTTGATATCAAAAGACACGAGAGTGAGATTTTATTTATTATCCAACATCATTCTTTCAACTTTTTCAATTTGTAGACAGTAATTAGCAGTGTCTTCAGTGTAAAAAGTACTGCAAACAGCTTCAGTAGCAGAGCCATTAGTGATGTCATTTGATTGTGACGTCATGGTAACCAATGACGTCACAATGGTCCGCAAAGCATTGTGATGTAATTTCATTGCAGCGATATCTACAATGTAGATATCGCTTGATCTCATCCAAGCGATATCTCCTGTGGGAGCCAGTTTTGGATGATAAAACTTGATAATGTCCTCATATTGCTTAACGACGGGCCATTACCGCGCCCTTTGTTAGATGACGTCATATGACGTTCAATAGTGACGTCATCTGGTTTGTTCTATGTCGTTTTCATATTTGTAAACGTGGGTCAGTGACATTCGTTGTTCGTTGATTGCAGTAAATGTTTCAAAACCGATATTGTATATTTTAATTTGATAACAAATGCTATCCGTTTGAGCTATAATCACGCTAACGCTATTTTTTAGGGCAATATCATTTGCAGAAGGCCTCGGTCTTTTCAACTGCTCTCCTTCGTGGGGCAGTTAACGGAAGGCCTCGGGATTCTGAAGAAAAATAGAGGTTACCCTTATACTATTGCCTCCAAGTTCCTGGAACTATATATATACTCACAAGCAAAAGAAACGAAAGTGGTTTTAAGCAAATAGGTAACAAACATGGAACCATAAATTGATACAGGTTTTAGCATGTAGTGAAGCCTGCTGGTGTTATCAATATTTGTTGTTGCATTTTGGAAGCCCCGAGTAAAAACGCAACATAGAAAACGAATAGCCAAAACACACCATTTCAATGAATATGTGGATATCTTGCACCCATTTCTCGCGAAATCGAAAATGCACGAACTGTCACGAACTGTAGTGGGTATAAAACTGTGGCCGATTCTTGGACCTACCACTCCTTGGTCAACAATGCGACGCCTAACTCAAATTCAGAGAAACCAGGCTATCGGACGTTTGGAAGCTGGAGACTCTGTCCAAGATGTTGCCCGTCATTTCAACGTTAACCACAATTTACCGTCTCCTGCATCGATACAATGCAACAGTCCACAGTCCACAGATGACCTTCCTCGGAGCGGTCGTCCTAGGGTCACCACACCTCGACAAGATCGGCAGATTACCCGTCAACACCAGCGACATCCGTTCCTAACTGCAAGTGAAACTGCTCGAGAGACCATAGGAACACAATAATCGACACATTAGCCGGGACACTGTGATCCGATGTCTCCGTTCCAACAACCTCAGATGTCGCCGACCAGCACGTCGTCCTGTTCTCCAACCACGGCATCGACAAGCACGACTTCAGTGGGCACAGGGTCATCACAATTGGCGTCATCGTGAGTGGAGGCGTGTCATCTTCTCTGATGAAAGTCGCTTTTGTGTCTCCCATGCAGACGGAAGAGTCAGAATTTGGCGGCGTCAAGGTGATCGTTTCGCTGACAGAAACGTTGTGGAAAGGGATCCATGGGTGGACCTGGCGTTATGATATGGGCAGGGATTGGACTTAATGCGAGACTTGGACTTATGTGCTTTCTGAATGTTGGTCAAGGTCGGGGACACGGCGTCACTGCTCAGCGGTATATCGACCAAGTGATCAGACCCCACGTTGTTCCATTTTTTTGCACATCAACAACAGCAGGACAACGCTCGTCCCCATGTTGCCAGAGCTACCATGGCCTTTCTGCAACAACACAACATTCGTGTTCTACCGTGGCCAGCCCTCAGTCCTGATCTGAACCCCATCGAACACATTTGGGATGAGGTTCAAAGGCCTCTGCACAATGTGCGCCCAGTCCCTACAACTGCCGATGAACTACGCACAGTTGCTCTGGATGTATAAAATAAATAACATGTATACTGCATACTCGACATGCGTTTATTTTGCGTGTGAGTATACTTATACATATCGCTAAAATGTATGTGCCTTCTTTCTTTAATGGATGAAATACTCCAAACACGTAGCCCTACTGAACATGCACCATGCATGTGAATTGCACCCTTCGACAGTAATCAATCAAACTCTAACTATTAATATATTGCGGCCTTGCTATCTACATGCTTGGCAAGTGCGTGATTTTGGCTTATGGACACAAAAGCACGAGAACGCGAGATTGCGACATTGGTCAAGTGACGCGATCTCGCGTTTTGCGTTTTTGTGCTAATTGCCTATACAGTTAAATATGTAACTATTTTCAAAAACACAAGAACGCGAGAACGCGACATTGGTCAAGTGTCGCGATCTCGCGTTCGTGTGTTTTTGTTCTTATTGCCTATACAGTTATATATGTAACTATTTTCAAAAACGCGAGAACGCGAGATCGCGACACTTGGCTTATGTCGTGATCTCGCCATGTCGCGTTTTTCTGCCAATTACCCATACAGTCATCGTTGTGTACAGTTGCGTCCCTTGGATGTGCCAGAAACCTACAATGGTAGGTTTCCTCCCATTTTAAAGGGGCACTGATCTACAGCAATGCCCCGAGACTGGTTGTTGCCTTTGTTATTGTTTTCCCCCGTGAGAATCCGGATGATATAGCAGAAATCGAAACCCGTGCTGCGCCATTCGTAAGCGCATGTATCGCTTTTATTGATAGTATTTCATTGTGGGTATATTGTTTAGCTAAAACGTATAAAGTTTCACTTAGGCAATTTTTTAAACGCCTAAATATTCAGTTATTTAACAAATTGACTAAAAATCGGTCCATTTATGTTATGGTTATTGCGAATTCCAAACATTTTTATGTTTTAATTTCATCACCCAGTGACTGAAAATGTTAGGATTAAAAGAAAACAAAATTCAAAGTACGTTTCTATAGTTTTGGCTTCTAATACTAGCGGGGCGGTCGGGTAGTCTAGTGGTTATTGCTGGAATATTGCTGAAAGCGGGGTAAAATCAAACACACTCACTCACTCTAATATTAGGATACATAGTCTAGTGATGGGGTTTTAAGACTTTTTGAACCTCTTAAAAATTGTTAGTCAATCTGGACTTGGATTCAGTCAATTTGTATATTACTGAACTATTTAGACATTTTATAAACTGCCTGAGTGAATGACATTGAACACATTGATGAGTGTAACATATACACGCCAACAGAAAAAAGAACAAAAATGATTCTGTCCAATGCAACAGCAAATGAATGAAAACAAAATGCAAATATCATAATTACGACCCACCGAAGTTTATGTATAAATTTGGGCAGCTTCCTTGTTCGAGGAATGTATCCGTGAATATTTCCATATAGGAACAATATCCCATACGTCTGGAGCTGTACAAATAAACTTATTCGACGTCACGTGCACGTGGCTCTGTTACAATCAAATATTTTAAAATATATGTATAGCGTTCCTGGATATTATAACAGGTGTTCGTTTCTCAATTGATCACTAAGTTTGTTTCAAATGTTTCACAAAGGTGTCAAGTCTCATCGGTCAGCTAAGATAGCACATGTGACAATTATGTTCATGATGTCCGTGGTTCTTTAAAAATATCCATGGAGTTAGAAAGCAATGAACAATCAATAAACGTATCATCGGCTAATCTTTTGAACCAAGTATGTTGTTTTTACATCGGCACTTCACGCCGTGATATGAGTGTATTCCGTCTGCTTTAGTAAACTTACACATGTAAACACTTACTTTTGACAAATCCACTGTGCAAGATAACAGTGATTAATCAATGAACGTATTTTCTGTGGAACTTTTGATGGCGAGGAATGATCCGTTTAAAAAAAAAGTAAATGAACTGATCACTCCTCTTGCTGGGCTGCCACGTGAATATTACATAACATACATTTCACCTCACTTCAAACCTGAATTCAGATGAAATAATTACCCCAGATACAAGACATGCTAAATGGGAACCTTTGTCAGGTAATCTGAGTGGTGCTACCCTTTACTTTACCTGTAACAGGTTCAATAACTGAGCTTCAAGTGAATGGCAACAAAGACACAGGTGTATGGTTATGCCAGAAACGTGGATGACAACAAGCGATAGCAATCATATTAACCGCGCAATCCAAAATCCGAAAATGCTTTCACTGCTGGGATACCATTTTTTAAACTATTAAACTATAACCATCTGGGGTATTTCCAAATAACGACATCCGAGGGGCTTCCATCGTTCTTTTTGTCCGTTTGTTTAGGCTGAAGAAATTAATTAACATGCGCCCTTTGTCTGAGATTCATAGATTACAGGTAACCAATCAGTGTTCTTGAAGACGGTAGCCCAGTCTCTTGTCACGCTCAGTTGCGCCAGCGAGCAAATTGACTCACGGCAGATAGTGAGCCCCAGCTGGCAGTGTCACACAGCCGAGAAGAAGATTAGTGCCCCTTTAAACCGACAAGCCGGTATATAACTGAAATATAAATACTGTTCAAAGCAGTGTTAAGCCAAACTCACTCACTTATTCAGAGCCATACCGGTCCATCAGGCTGGATATTGGGGGTACTTTTCAAGTATAAGCATGCCTGTCATTTGGATGTTAAGGCCACAATAAATTAATAGTTAGTTTGATTGATTTTTTAAAAACATGGGAGACATTTTATTTTTAACGTTTTATTTTGTTCTTATCGACCTACTTTAGGCATATGTGTACAATTGCTGTCGACGGGTGCGATTCACATGCATCATGTGTGTTCAGTAGGGCTACGTGTACGAAGTATTTTATCAGATAGGAACGTAGGAAAGTAGGAACACTCATATTAACGATACTTCTATTTCTAGGAATTTGAGGGCATTAGAATACTGTAAGACAGGATGTTTTGTTGTAAATTACATAGCATTTTCAAGTTCAAGTCATAATTTTGCTAAATGCTACATGGAGAATGAAGAGCATAAAAGAAGCATGACCAAAGAACTTAGTGCGCATACGCCTTGACCTATGATATTACGCATGCGCACGGACAGCGTCTAAAACGCGAGATCGCGAGATCGCGAGATCGCGAGAAAATGAAATGTCGCATCCTCGCGTTCTCGCGATTTCGTGTTTTTGTGGCCTAATTTGAGAAGTCGAGATTGCGAGATTGCGAGATTTTGCATCATGTCCAAATGTCGCATTCTCGCATTGTCGACTTTTGACAAAAAGTGCTTTGTACCAAAAACACGAGAACGCGAGATTTGGGCCAAATCTCGCGTTCTCGTGTTTTGGGCATATTTATCTCGTTTCCAAAGGTCGAGATCGCGAGAATGCGAGATCGCGAGAATGTCCCTTACAGTATTCCATACATAACACACTACTATTTACTGAATGATGTAATATGATGATGAAGATGGTCATACGAGCATCTCGCAACTTACTTGTGTCCGTTCCACACTGACTTTGTTGAAATTCAATTGAGTCCAAAAAGGTAATCAAAAGCACCGTTATTGTTGTTGCCTTGAAAGCGTTTAACCACTGCATCTTGCAAACAGATAATGAAACATTTAAACATGTTTTATTGCAGCTGATTAATCAATTGATAAGGGAATAATGTATTATTCCCTTGATGCTATACTTAATATTTCACATTATTGAATCTATGTTTGTGTCAAAGGGGAAACCAGAACAATACTTTTGTTTAAAGCTCCTCTTTTGCCAAAATACGTAATTACGTCAAGGTTTCCAAAGTTCCACTGAAATGTTATCTCTTTGTCTGCTTGATATATTCAGCAATCTGTCGTCGTATCGTAATTATAATGAATGCGAGCACACATGAAACCCCGTTAAACCGTTACAATTGAATCTGGAATAATACATGCCGAGACCACCAACTAAAGGGGAAAAAAATGACTAGGCTTCATTGTATTCAGTTGGACAATGAATATATTGAGAACTATTCAACTATTAACATACAAGTTACCTATCAAGAACAAAGCTGGCTGACTATTAACTAAGTCCAGCATTACTGCTAGCAATGAATCTACACATATTGACGACATGATATATTTTACTTTACGATGTTGTTGATACTTGTACTAGATTTCTTATTTATCAAACGGTTATCAAGATGTTGATCAGGAATAATTAATTTCATATTTTGGTGATCGAAATTACTACAACCTACATCAGTGATTACAACCTTCATAAGTGATACCTATAGTGGCATAGTGCGCATTGAAAACATTACTAATCGTTATTTGAAGATTTAAAATACATTAAACAATAACTTAACAATGAACCAACGCATGTGGTTGAAAATATACAATGTTCAAGAAATCTAAGACAATAATCATGAAATACATTCAACATATTTGAAAACAACAATTAAAACAATCTGAGACAATAATCATAATACACACTCAACATGAATGAAAACAACCATTGAACAGCGCATGAAAATGTCTTACCTTAAAATAGAATAGAAGAATTGAGAATAAATGATGACATCAGAGCTGCTAGCATTCCAATATTTATTCAGGTGCAGTGCTTTTGACTGTAAAGATACGTGAGTTAATTTTATAAATTTTGAATATTATTTTTATATTTTGATATGAATTATTAAGCAAGTTTGCGCACTATAACGATACCACCAGTTGTCAACGCGTATGTTGACGGGGAAATTAGCTCAGATTGAAGCCGAAGAATACGTTGAGTCCAAACTTCTTTAGTCGGCAATAAAACAAAATACAATTACTGATAGAAATATGTCGAGCGGAGATTCCAACTCAACAAGTACAAGTGAGGTCCAGCAAGCAGGCGTATCCTACTCGCGGCTGTACATCCAGGTGCTGTCGGAATACCAGACTAGCTAACAGTAAAGATGTAAACATGTATATACACTATTGGACAAAAATAGACAGACAAAGAGACAATGGCGTTGCCCTGGACATGCGGCTTATGGATGCGATTACAGACATTATGTCATAATGTGAAATGCCGTGTTAGACAATGGTTCAACTGACCGCTGTTACGCATGGATTACATCAGGTTAAATAGTCCAGATTTCCTAAACGATATGTTCTCAACACTGTACAAAAGGGATGTTGTTCAGGAGCTACAATCCCAGAACACGCACTCATCCACTGCACACACTACCTAACACATCGAACCTCATTACAAACCACCCTCAATCTAAACAAGGCTCTAACTCTAGAAGCAATCCTAAACCCACAAAATAAACTAGAAAACTTCAAGGCCTTAGGCGTATTCTTAATAAAAACGGAACTAATAAAACGCATCTAAAAACACAATAACCTACTAAATCAAAATCACATAAACAAACAAACATCCACCATACCCAGCTCCCTTAGTTCTCCTCCCCAATCCCATCGGCATCTATTCCAAATCTCAAAATTCCCAAATTCTATATAAGCAACCCCTAAAACCCCCCTCTTGGGTTGCACAGACCACTTTCGCCCTTTCGGAAACACATGAAATGGCCTGGCCGGGCCCGTGTGCGAAATACGCATCAGTCGGAAAGCGCACGTTAAATCTCCAAAGTAAGTAAGTAAGTAAGTAAGTAAGTAAGTAAGGAGCTACAATTATTTAACATTGCGTTGTCCAGAGTGCTGTTAAGTCACTCTGTTACAATTGTCGCCCTCTCGAGAAAGACATGTCCTCATGTCGGGATTAATCGCTAGTATTCAAATGTTCAAATATAAACGTGAAATTGTCAGTTATCATAATATTAAAAAGGATAATTATCCCGAATGCGAACGACCTGTTGCATTCTGGCCCGATGTTCCTGCATGTAGGCCACGTGGGCATCATATGGTGATTCTTCATATGGTTTAGGCCCAGGTACACATTTTTCATTTGTGTCCAGGTATGCTACGGCGACACTGTCAAGTTTAGCCTCAGGGATCCAGGTGTTTTTGTTGTTGGGTAGATTCTGCCATCTGATGAGAAATACGGGTTTGTTGTTCTTGACTCGCCGCTTAAGAACTCTTTCTGTAATTCGGGTAGAGCTGGGTTGGTCAGGTGACGACTGTGTAGTTGTTTTAGATTTCAACACTGACGTTGCAGTTTCTACTTTAGTTGAGGTCTGAGAACCAACACTGGCAAACGAGACCGGGTTCGTCATGGTCCCGATGTTAACTGATGGGGACTTCTCAGATTGACATGACGCATCACTATACGTAGGTGTTGCCTTCTTGTTGATACACTTGGCAACTGTACTGACTGTATGTACGTTTGTGGTGCTCAGCGAGGCGCATTCATCAGCATGAGTTGGGCACATTTTCTCTTCATATAACTGTTATGGCGTTTCCTATCTCGCTCCAATTTGGCCCGGGACTTCATGGTTGACGACTTTATTATGACATTACTCACTGTTACTGCTGGCTGTTTCCTCCATTTAAGGTTCACTTGAAGGGTGTCCATACTTTCTTGGATGGTCCATATACAAACTTCTTAATTACACAAACCTAGGACAACTTGGATAATATCAGAACATCACTAGTACCTACACCAGCAAACACAGATCTTCTATCTCAGACCTTCTGGATAAATAAATGTATGGAGGAAAAACGAGGCTCCATTGTATTCAAAAAGATGGGTGGGGTCGAAAAGTGAACATTTCGTTAGAGTACTGATCACAGAAACAACGGGAAATGTCACACCACACGTCTCAAAGTCAAGTCAGTAGCGGGTATGTCCACCGTGAGCATCAATACATGCCAGAACACGCCTACGGACTGATGACGTCAAACGTCTGATGACGTTGGGAGTGATGCGTTGCCATTCCTCGAGGAGACATCGTTCCAAGTCCTGGACGTTGACTGGAGGCACACGGCGACGTCGGATTTGCCGATCGAGGTGGTCCCATAAGTGCTCGATGGGATTCATGTCCGGTGAACATGCGGGCCATGGCAAAACGTGTACGTTGGCGTTGGCAAGGAAGTTCTGTGTCAATCTTGCTGTGTGTGGCCTTGCATTGTCATATTGGAAAAGGAGTCCACGAGGCTGTTGCTGAATAAAGGGCACCACAACAGGCCGTAGGATGTCATCAAGATAACGCTGTGCATTCAGGTTTCCACGAATTACGACAAGCATCGTTTTGACGTCACCACATATGCCACCCCAAACCATTAACCCTCCACCTCCAAACGGCCGGACCTGTTGCATACAGTTAGGCGCCAAACGTTCACCAAATCGTCGGTATACAAGCTGCCGTCCATCGTTTCTGAAGATGAGGAATCTGCTCTCATCAGAGAACATAACACGTGCCCAGTCCCGCCGTTGCCAACGTCGAACTCGCCTGGCCCAGATCAGTCTGTTGTTCCGGTGTCGAGGCGTCAGGAGCGGTCCGCGGTAGGGATGACGTGGCCGGATACCATACTGCCGTAGTCTCCTGTAGACGGTCTGTCGACTGATCCTGTGTCCCAGTGCTGTAGCCGCCGTGGACGTCGCTGTTACGGTGCGGTTCCTCAGGTGTAATACCCGGATGTAACGATCTTCACGGGGCGTGGTTACTCGTGGTCTTCCACTCCTGGGCCTGTCTGACGTCTGACCTGTCTGACGTAACCGCTGCATCAACCTGGTGATAGTGATGCGTGCGCAGCCCAACCTTCTGGCGACGTCGACGTGTGACGCTCCTTGTTGGACCATTCCAACGGCTCTCTCTCTCTCGATGGCTGTCAAACGTGGCATATCTTGTGTTCTTTTTGTTGCTGTGATATCAACGTGTCTGATCAGCCGTTTTATACAGTTTTTCTGTACGTGCAGAACATGCTAGAGAGGGAAATGTCACTTTCACGAAATTTACGTTTTTTCCCGGAAGTGATCACGTTTTCCCGGTATGTTTTATCGACTATGCTGTGTTTGGGATGTGCAATACGAATTGGCATGTTTTCATACTTGACAATTCACTTAGTAAAAAACAATTTTGAAAATAAGTTGGTATCGTTTCTTTTGGACACTAGTTTACTATAGTCGTCCTTCCCTCTATCTATTGTCATATTGGTTGATTGTCTCCCAGAGGATAAATTCCTTAGATTATCTAAAGGCGTAAAGTATACATTCATAAATTACGCTTTTTGAGTCTCGCTTCATTTAATGATTCAAAGCCAATGTATATTTTCCAGAATTGATGTTTAATTAAATATTTCGCTTATTCGTGTTTCCATAAATATATCGACAGCGGCATATACAGTAAATACACATTACTTGTATTATGTCCAGTTATTTAGAAACATCTTCGTTTTTATAAATGTAAATTATCTTTAACATAAGTCGTTGGTACTGAAGTAGATGATCGCGATTTTTAAGTTCTATACTAATCTTGAAATTAATTTCACGGATGTATTATAGGAGAAGTTCGTTTCAAATGTTTTTAATAATTTACAATTTTTTTTAAAATATTAAACCATTAAGATAAACATGCATTCAAATTCTAAAACTTCTTTCGAAAATGTATGCCAAATGTATACATGTTGTGATTAGAATTATGAAGAGTTGTTCCTGAAGAATTAATGATTTTGTCCTTAGTGCAGATTAATTTGTTGTGTACACATGTATTTTGGCATATTGTTTTATGAAAATAGATACCAATGCTATTGAGCGTCAACTAAAGCAGTAAAAGGAATGTTTTGTTTATGATCATATGATAGTTCCAGATTGATTGGTTGGTTGGTTGGTTGGCTGTTTGGTTGATTGGTTGGATGGTTGAATGGTTGGTTGGTTGGTTGGATGGTTGGATGGTTGGTTGGTTGGTTGGATGGTTGGATGGTTGGATGGTTGGTTGGTTGGTTGGTTGGTTGATTGGTTGGTTGGTTGGTTGGTTGGTTGGATTGTTGATTAATTAATTGATTGGTTGGTTGGTTGGTTGGTTGGTTGGTTGGTTGGTTGGTTGGTTGGCTGGTTGGTTGGTTGGTTGGTTGGTTGGTTGGTTGATTGATTGATTGATTGATTGATTGATTGATTGATTGATTGATTGATTGATTGATTGGATGGTTTGATGATTGATTGATTGATTGGTTGATTGGTTGATTGGTTGATTGATTGATTGGCTGGTTGGTTGGTTGATTGGTTGGCTGTTTGGTTGGATGGTTGGATGGTTGGATGGTTGGTTGGTTGGTTGGCTGGTTGGTTGGTTGGTTGGTTGGTTGGCTGTTTGGTTGGTTGGTTGGATGGTTGGATGGTTGGTTGGCTGGTTGGTCTGATCATACTGTTATTATTTTACGTGATGTTGTTGTTACTCTGTATAATGCCTTAAAGACGATACCTTCAATTAATAGCAAACATCTGATCTTATAAACAGTTAATCAATCAGATATGACACGTTACTAAAACAAGGGAATATATTGATTTACGGTAACGGCGATGTAAATTTAAAATTCCGTGTAATCAGATGAATTTGACACTATTACTATGGATATTACCAGACAGCTTCCTGAACACGGTAAGACAAGTAATATATCAGTTCTACATATATCTGTTCTATCAGCAGGATATTTACATTTAAGTAGTATTCGAGCTTCCTATAGGCGACAA